GGGGCAGGCGCTCGCGGCGGCGCCGCGAGTGCTCGCGTGAGAAGGTGGCCTTGTGGCCTTCTGGGCCCATGCAGGGCGTTTTGGCAATGATCTGTTTCTCTGTTCCTCTGACCGACTGTGAACACCAAACTTGCGGTGCGAGTCGGTCGTGTACGGCATGAAGAAGCTCGCGTTTTCCGCCATGGCGGGTGCGTGCGCCCGGATATGACCCAGGGACAGGCATGTTTGTGTCCCCACTGGGCACCCTCGCGACGCATAGGTATTGGAGCGCCCATCTTATGGTGACTTTTTGGCACGCCACATGCGGCACCGCCAGGCCATGCCATATGCGCGACACTGCTCTTGCTGGCGGCAAGACGGGTCAGGGGGTCGGCGGCTGATGCACGAAACCGCCCACGCAACACACGGAGGCGGACTTTCTTGGTGCGGCGGTGTCAGCCCATGCCACGACTGCATTCGCGGATTTTCGCTGACGCTCTGTCCACATGACGGTTAGCCAGGCGTCCGATCACTTATGCAGACAGGTTGGCTGTTTAAATGGCACAGTAGCTGAGACATGATGATGCTTACGGCGTGACTGCACCCTGCGCAAAACCAATCAACTTTTGCCGTGCTCACACGCCTGACACCCATAAAAAGACATGCACCGAAGCTCTTTAGAGCACGTGCCGCCGCAAAACGTCTGCTCTCAAGGTGCTGCCTCGCTGCAAGCCTCTACATACACTGCACCAATGGGCAAGGATGAGATGGCTTCGCCTAGCCCCTCATGTGGCTTTTTTGGTAATTCTGCCGTATTTGGGGAATTCGGTGCATCGGATCTGGCAGTCTAAGGCGTTGAGCTCCCGTTTGCCCCTCCTCTGCTCGGCTTCTTCATTTTTGACGCTCACAGGACCGGTCATTGTGAGACATCAATGCCACCATCCCCTTGGGGCCCCCCAACTGCCCAGTCCGCAGCCTTTTGAATTCAAGGCATTTGCATTTGGATTTCAGCCCGCCCACACAGTGCCAAGCCTGAGCAGGTTTGACCGCACGGCGCTGACGGACTATTACCGTTGTCCCAGAGGACCGCCGCGCATGTTCGTATGTATGTGGCTGCTGGTGTAAGGCAAGCAACGGCAGGTGACAGTGGGGTGGCTTGCAAGGCCGGCAATTGCCTTACTCTCACCTCTGGGAAGTGCACTGTTTTGTTTTGTGTCGCATATGCAGCGCAGCATGGTGCAACAGCGTATGAAGGTCTGCATTACAACTGCATCCGCCTCCACAGGCAGGTCGGTTGCCGACCTGCCTACCCGCGAGCCTGTTAATGCAGCTGAAAGCCCTGGCACCAGTTGAAAACTTCGCAGGCATAGCCTGCGTGTGAACTGTGGTTGGCCCCTGGGCTCCTGCATGAGGATCAAGTAGCAGCTAACGGCTTTGGTAGTCATCGCCTGCACCTCATGGAAGTTGACCGCATGCGTACGCGTGGGACATCCATCGTAGGACCCCCCATCGTAGTGCTTGCTCTGCAACTCAATAATTGGCCACGCCCAGCAGTTGTCAGCCGGGTGCGGTCCAGTACCTGGGATGCGATGATTGCGTCACTGCAGAGCTGTACTTGATGATCATGACCTTCTCGTGCATCAAGTAGCAGGGCTGCAGCCCGTAAGTAAACTCTTACTGCTGCCTCCCAACTGCTATGCTGCACAGATCATTGACACCAGGGCAGGCCGGGGCTTTCCGAGCGAGTGGGCACCAGTGTCAGCACCGATGACACCAGCCTGTCAAGCGGTGCGGCTGCCGTGCAGAGGTTGTGTGCAGGTCACAACGGCGCTCGCACTGTCACCACGCTTGCATCACTGTGCTCTCATCGAATGGCTGCATCGCGCATAACCCGTGGGGGTGTCACCGGGCCAGCTGGAAAGTCGACCAGGATCAGTGATCGCGTTGATAGCAGCCTGGCGAGGCCGTTCCCGAGACTCAGATATTGTCCTTAGTATTTCGCGCCAGGCGGGCGCCGATCCCCGCCCATATTTCTATTCGGCGCTTCACCCACACCACCGCAGCCCAGAATAGTGAGACTGTTCGCACGGCAGCCAGGATGCAGCCTCAAAGGGGTTCGCCCACCAGGAGTAGTGCTGGCCTGCCAGGTGCGCACGCGGTCGGGCCACGGGGTCCAGCGAACGCCCTAAAAATTTTGACGGACGCGCCTGGGACGGGCGAGCCACCCGCAACAGCGCGGCTGCGATTGATGGATTGTATTTTGTCAAGGAGTCCAGCGGCATGGGGCCCCGCACAGGGCTCATCGCACCACGCGCTTAGGTCTGGGGGGCCCTCCTCACACACGGGGGCCGCCGCCGCTGGCGACCTTGCCATGTGCGCAGACTTTACAGTGGACATTGCATCCAAGTACATCTACAGAGGCTACACTACCGTGCTAAAGCACTTGCCAAAGCTCGCACTCCTCGTGGTCGCATCATCATTAGGGGTGGGTCACATTAGCAGCACCAAGCTGCTGCTGTGTCACCGAAGCAGCCGCCGCCATTCGTGTACGCCAGCCTGCTTCGCCAGTGCTGCATGTCAAGGGCTGCACGCTCCCCCCTTCCACCCACAGCTGGAGCTGTGCAACATGCTGCGCATGGGGCAGTTGTCGGCGCTCTGGAATGTGGCGCAGGAGACGAACCTAACGTTCAACCTGGTAGGAGCATCCCTGTCAGCCACGCGCGCAAAAACCCCACGGCTGGAGAGTGCGGGCGCAAGCCGCCTGGGCGCCCCGGGACGACACCGACAGGCGCGGCACCCTGGAATTCAGCAATACTCTGCGCCCCACCAGAGCCCGGTCAGGCCCCATCATGGCTCCCACCCCTGATTGCTGTGCCCTCTTCCTCATCTGCCAGGTCACCGTGGTGGCTTGCTGCTCCATGCTGCTGGCGGCGATGCTCAGCTTTTTCCTGCTGCAGACCAGACCTGTCTACCTGGTGGACTTTGCGGTCTACAGGCCGCCGGACAGGTGCGCACCTGGACTGCCGAGGGGG